CATTGTACAGTGGCATTAAGTACCGAAATGTGCACCTCTGCCTACTCTTTCGGGGATAAAAAGGCGCGATGTTATGTATATTATGTATCATGTTCTGTTATCTGTGTACACTTAGAGGAATTAAACCTTATCAAAAAACACAGTTAGTAGACGAAAATGTCTTTTTTATCCCACAATAGCTGTTATATGTAACTAGTCCTAATTATGATGTGTCAAGTATGTACCTATATTGAAATCAGTCAAGTAAGTTTGTCATTGTCCAGTGTCCACGATGCATTCGTCAATGACGATAAGTGATTGTCGTTACTGCTTCGTCAAGAGTTCCTATTGTTTTTAAGCAAGATTCGAGCATTTAATTTTGTCATTTGTAGGTTGTCGTGGACAAAGACCAAGAGGCCTAACAGCCCATGAAAAGTTTTTTCAAAGCTCAGTGAATCTCATTGGTACCTTGATTTTTATTTTAATTAAATTAGTAAATTAAACATTTATGTAAATGACTTTTTGTTAAGTAAATTAAACAATTATTAATACATTATGTCCTTTTAGTCAAGTGGTTGGAACCGTTACGACAGTCCAATAAAGTACCTACATATCATTGATATTTTCAAATAGTTTTAGTATGGAAGCTGACACAAACGACCATAGGTATATATTTTCCACGATATGTAACGAGAAAACTAGCTTCTCTATATGTTTAGAAGCCACTTTTTATGGGATAAGAGAAATTTGAGAAAAATCTTCTAAATTCGACGTAGGTGTAGCATGAATGGTTCAGAAAATACATAAAAATGCATCAACAAAATGCAAAAAATACTAACATCACAATCGTACTTGTACTAGTAATTTATTGTCAGTTGTAGTAATAGTCAGTACTTGTAATTGAACTAAATTCATTATATAATACTAGCTTTTACCCGCGGCTTCGCTCGCGTCACAAAAAGATAAAAAGCCAATGTGACATATACCAATACACACAGCGCCATCTATACTAATACTTTTGTTTTCCTTCGGGAATATCAAATTCTTCCGGGATCAAAAGTGCCCTATTATTTAACCCGGACTTCTAACTATACATCTGCAAAGATTCAAAGCAATCGGTTTATTAGTTATAGCGTGAAAGCGGAACAAACTCACTTTCCGATTTATAATATTAGTAAGGATGTTTAAGAACAAATATATCATTAATTTTTCCAAAAAATATTTTTAGGTAAGTATCGTTTGGATAATTCCTTTCCAAAAATAACATTTATAATAAGTACGTATGTCTTATATATGTTTTATTTTGAAAACGAAAATCAGAATGGGAGCATCAAAAAGACATATACATGATAAAAGCTTAAGTATCGTGCTCATCCAGGGTTGGCACCACGCGGGAAATCAGATTCCTATCGCGCCGGGAGTAGATAGTGCGCGCGGCCCTAAACGGATCCTGTATGTGTGACGTATGGAGGGTGTAAGAGTGTGTGCGTGGTATTAGGGTGGTCACTCCTTATGACTTTATGGGACAGATGTTTTATCAAATTTAAAAAAATATTTTTCTTAAAATGTAATATATCCCCCACTTTTTGCCAGTGATTATGAGCACTATGAAGTCGATCATTAATTAAAAATTCGATTGTTTTTTTCAAAGTGGCGCTGCGCTCCGTCGTTATCCAAAATCGCTGTATTTTTATGAGCCAGAGTTTGCACTAGATACAACCGTAGAAATAA